TCGTGTTTCATTTGCAAAGACGATTGAAAAAAAGAGATGATTCGGATTAAATTTATGGATTCTATCTGCTGGATTAGATGAAGTGAGATCGGAAGTGAAAGAAAAGATAGAGAGTGATGTAATGGGTTTAATATTTTTGAGTGTATGAGTAAGTGTATATGTATATATATAGTTGGTTTAGGAAAATAATATTTCAAAATCAAACCTAATTTAATTTGGTTTGCGTCAACGAATTGTATGCCTATTTGCCTTTTTGAGTTTTTTGAGGGAAATTTAATTTTTTGGGGTTAGTTACGGTCCCTAAAGCTTTGATTCACTATTTAGAGACTAGACTAATTTTCAAGTACGAGTCCGGTTTAGTTTGGTTAATGTACACATTACATTTTATGTTTGGCTTTATAAAATCACCACAAAACTCCCAAAGACACGGTTTTTTTTTCTTCTCCAAGTTTATGGTATTTTTAAGGTATTTTTGAGGTATTTTATAATGGTACTCATCTAAGTTATAATTTCTGTTACGAGGCGAAAATAAACGTGGGAGAGGAAGGGCAAAAACAGTTCCGTGTGGTGCAAGGAGAGTTATGTATTGTTGTATTCACGAAGAATGAATGATGAATCTTGAAGACATTTATACGCTTTATCGAAATTTTATTGACATATATTTGATTCTTTAACTAAGAAATAAGAGAAACAGTCTGACCCGACTCTATTATTTATAACTTCGATCCTGAAAAGGCAAATAAGCAAATTATGTGTGAGTAAACAGTTAGGTTCTTCGACCATATTTGTTCACTCTTTATTTGTTTTTATCCGACATTTGTTCTTTGTGATGAATAACTTATTTTAAAACAAACACACTTAAACGTGCAAAGGTTTTTTCACGAAAGACGGTAACAGCAACAAGTAGTACTCCTCTTAAATAAATTTGCATCAAGGATTATTGCGGCTATGTACATAGAACATATATTTACCGAAGTTATCATCGGTTATCAATATAGAAGTTCATACAAATGCTTTTAGGATATATAGCACCCATTTTCATTTTTCTAAAAGTTGTGTAGAAAGAAAAAATCGACTACAATACTACATTTTCCATTAAATTGTATCAACATTTTCTTGTTCAATTGTAGTTGCAAACTTGCAAAACTAATATTTTATTATGGCTCTAAGCAAAAAGAAAATTATGGCCCTAAATTTTAACTCATGTTAAGAAAAGGTTTTTAAGGGAATAATGATAATGGGCCGTTTAAGCTATTTGGGCCAAATATTAATAATATGGGCTATTTGTAGTAGTCCAACTTGATGTTCGGTCTTGTGGAACTATAAACCGAGCTAAACCGATACGTAATTACGTATCAAACGAAATATTAGTTTTAGGAGTTTGTAGATTTGTTGTTTTTTGTTTTAATCCATATAATCGATATGTTTGAATTCATAATGAAAACAAAATAAATCAAACTATATCTGGATTGAAGAAGTTCAAATTGATAACCAAAATGAAATTGCTTTCATATGATGGTGACGTGATATTATTGTACCCGATCGACTCTAAGATAAATATTTAAAACAAATTCAATTATTATTATTTTTTGGTCCGAAAACAAACTCAATTATTGAATGAGTGGTTCAGTGTATGATTGCTTATTTTTTATTCGTAATATATATTTTAAAAAAATATTGTAAAGGTATTAGTTATGCAATAAATCACTAACTCACTGCCTGCCACTCCTGCGTTTTTGGCTGTATTAAAATAACTTATCATAATGAGAAAAGGGTCATTTTGTAACAATAACAAAAAAAAAAAAAACTATAATTGAAATCTAAGTAAAACATT